GGTAAAATATCACAAATCAGTTCATTTTTAAGGTGCTGATTGCCTGAATGTATTTTATCATGGTCACATTTTAAAGAGGAAATAGAGCATGAAAGTGTTGCCTTTGGCTGACAGAACGTTCAGTGCCAGCAGAAATTCCTCAGGTAACAAAACAACCAGAAGAGCGAAAGAAACACCAGTTGTGCTTTGCTGCCTCTCACTACTGTTCTCACTTTGTGTGTAATGGTTTTGCTGCCATTTTGATGTGCTGCTGCTAACTGCCATTTTTAGCTTTTTTGAACCAGCCCTGTTTTGCTTTCCGAGTCTGGTGAGAATACCCTACCCCAATCAAAGACTTCCTGACACTCTTGCTACACACACCTTTCAAGATTTCATCTCTGAAGGCCATACAGCAGGGCAAGGCCTGCACAGAGTCCCAGAGATGTCTCCATCCCCCATGTTGCATCCTATCCTCTCGGGTGGCTGTCCTCCACTGCCACAGCCAGGGGTTGTGTGTGTAGATTCAAGTTTGACCCAGTCAGTGCTGCAGATTTGAAGCCAGGAATACTTATGCCAGTTGCTTGTATTTTGGGCTTTTTTAATAGGATTTTGCACACCTTGGGAAGACAGTGTGGACTGTGATACTGCACACCTCTCTGATTCCTATGCAGTTGCCTAGCACTGCAACTGGGGATGCACTATAACACAAGACAATCCAGCAAGTGGAGTGCCATGCTCTTGACAGAGTGATTATCTCCCACTGGCAAAAAAATAAAAAACAAAAAATAAAAATAATCATTTTCTGCCAGTAGGTGCTATTTTAACCAAGCAAAGTGTGTATTTATTTAGTAGCCTCTCTGGTATCAGAGGCAGCATGCTTACTTCCCATCTGCTTTCTCTCACCCAAGCTCCTTTGGATTCTGGGTGGATACGGTGCTAATGACATTTGTTAGCATAATTCCCTAAATCATGAAGTTATGGGAAAAAAAAATGAACAAAAATCATGAATGGATAGAATTGAGCTAGGTTTGCAATGGATTGTTTGCAGAGGCTTGTATAAGAGCTTGGAAGAGATGGAAGACAAACAGACTGCACTGAATCCTCTCTACTCAAGGATGATGGGAAGAGGGGAGTAGGGAATATGAGTTCCATATGTTCCTCTTATTTTGTCTCCAAAAGACTTGCTGTTCCTGGTAATTTTTCTTGAAATGTTAATTATAGGCACTGGGGATATCAGCAGTGCTCTTAATAGATTAACTTAGGTACTGGTAAAAAATAAAAATAAAAAATGCTTGATGAATAAAAAGACAGTTTCAGAAAAAGCAATCAGCTACCATGAAAGCAGGGTGCGCTTAGGAACAAAGGACTGTCCTGCTGCCTCCCGTTCTGTGCACTGTGCTGACTCTCATCAGCTTCTGTACCACCGTGGCATGAGCTGGGGGACCTCCTGGGTAGAGATAATGGTGGGGTCCTATGGTACGTGGAGAACAGGTATCTTGGCACAGCTGGGTCAAGATCACTGAAGGGAGCGAGCTCTGTCGACAGAGCTCTCTGGGGCAAAGAAGGCCTAAGAGTGCCCAAGAGAGAGGAAAGGCAGGGCCCATTCAGACACTCCCCTTCTTGGCACAAGACTAGGACCCAATCAGTCCTCTGCTGTCCCCAGACTGAGGGCAAGGTGAGAAACTGTGCACAGCACCCCCAAAATTACCAAGATCCAAGCCTACCTGCCAGTCCTCTCTGGAGATCAAATAACACAAATCTGCAGTGTCCCCTAGCCAGCAGATCCACCTAAATAGACGTGTTTCCTCTTGAGGAGATGTCCCATGGTCAGGAGCACCCACCTGTTCCATGACAGGTAGCTCTGTGCCACCCTTCTTGCTGTCTGCTTGTTCTGATGGCCAAGCGACATGTAGAGATGTGTTATGAGGGGTATTCAAGTCTGGGATGTCTGTGATGGACAGAGATCATAGGAGAATTTTAAGGAAGATCATCAACCACGAGCTGGCCAAGACCTCGCTCTATGCTAGAGAGGCAACCTAATGCTTTCATGAGTACCCCTTGGGACTGCTCAAATGAGCCATAAATGGACAGGAAGCCCATCATCTTTGCAGGATTTGACAGTTGGTGGATCTGTAAGGATAGGAAATTCTTGATTGCCAGGATTCTCTCCAAGACTGTATGAGCCAGAGGGCTGTGCTGTCAATCTGTGTTCTCCTACACAGGAGCAACCATGCAGTGCTGGTCTGTTCTTTGCATACTGAAGGCTTTGCAAAGACAGGGAAATATTTGTTTTCATGACAAGAGACCTTCCATGGCTACTGTGTAAACATCACGTCACTGATATCTGCTTAGGATCTCTCAGTGGTGCTGCCAGCTTTGCAGACTGGTTTAGCCACCCTTGGTATTACTTTTTGCTCTCTGGGTCATGGATGGTACTATTGTTTGCATGGCCTTCTGAGTACTGACAGCATGTGCTGTCTTCTCAGTATCAGCACACATAAATTAAAGAGCAGTTATAGGTATGAAGAGCAAATGGAAAGGAACTTTTCCCAGTTCGAAGCTCTGGCCAGTCTGAAGGGTCTGCCCAGGTAATGCATGCTGAAAGGGAAAATGTTGCCCAGATCTAGGGAAGGTAGCACTGGTCAGGAGAGCATAAAGGTGCTCTACAGAGGAGGCTTTTTCCTTTGATCAGCCATTGCAGAAAAAGTAGTAAATTGCTTCTCGTGAATAAGAAGGTCCTAAACATCTTGTCCTTGTTGTTGCAGCCCCAACCTTATACAGAAGGATTTGGGTTACTTGGAGCAGGAGCCCACCTTGGGAGTGACCTGTGTCAGTGTTCCTGAACAATTTCCAAGTGTGTAAGCTAAGATTATTTAACCCCATTTTGTGACACACATAACAGCATGATCAGCTTGTATGTTTTTAAACAAACTCCTCCAGAAAAAAGAATCGACGGTAATAGCGCTGAACCTTCCATGATATTTGCAGTCATTGTACCATGACAAAACACTGCCTAGAAACATTGACTTCTGCATGAGGACTGACTAAAATATGTGTAAATAATTGGTTGTGTCTGTTCTATTTGTCTTTAAGCTCAGCATCTAGGGCAGCAAAAACACACATTTCTATTATTTACATCCTATTTTAAATAAAGGATTGCTCATTTACTCTCTTATCTTCTCCCATCCAGATCCTCTTTTCCTTGTATACTACTTAATAGAGATCTCTTCCAGAAAGAGCACAAGCACTGAACTCTTTCATTCTCAGCATCCCTTTTTTCCTATTCTGTCTGAAGTTCTTCCCACCAGAACCTAGAACTCAGACAAGTTAGGCTGTGGGCTGCTTTGGGATCTGCCTGATCCCATCCTAATGATATTCAGTTCTATTTTATTTTATTTTGTTTTGCCTTTCTAGTGCCAATTATTCTTCTCTGTAATGTGAACTTTCTCACTGATTTCAGAATAAATTATTATCGCCATTAAAAATACTAATGGGAGTAATCAATAGGCACTGTGAATCACTTTAAGATAATACAGTGATAAAGATGATAGATTTTTCAGTTACAGAACTGTTTAACACCAAGTCTTAATCACAAAATCACTTTGGGGATTTTGTTGAGTTTTGGCAGGAACAGGAGCAATACTTGTGTTGAATAGCCTCTCCTGGCCTTGTGGTATTTCACAGCTCTCCTCACGTAGAAGGCATCAGAAGGCTGGTGGTCCCTGGACTCTGCAGCCAGCTGAGAAGGGTGCTCAGCTGCTGGTGCACAGTGTGTCAGGGACCCTAAACACTGTAACATTAAAAAAGCTGCCTGGTCTCTCTGACACGTTTTGGACCATCAGCAAGCTCTTGTCATCCTCCTTAAAGGGTCGTCTGCTAATCCTTGTGCAGCCTGAACTAATATCTTTACCCTTACAACTGCAGTGATCTGTCACTATTTTTAAGCTCAGTCTCTGGTGTCATGGTGTTCTCATGAAGGTCGGAGAGGCAGAAAACCACACAAAACTCTTCTGCACCAAAAAGAGGTGAGCAAGTGTCATCTCCTACTGTATGCAAGTGCTCTGTCTGGGGGGGGATTGGATGAGATGTTAAGGGGCTAAAGGACACCATGGATTGGCAGTGTCTAGTTCTGCCACTGATGCACAACTCTGGCCTTAAAACCACCAGAGAAAGGGGTTGGTGGGTTGTCCTTAGGCAGCTAAACTGGGAAGGCAAGGTGATGCTTACATGGGCCAACCCTGAGAGTTTCTGCAGCTCTTGTTGCTGCCAAAAGCAATTCTTTGCAACCAAAGTTGTTTCATTTCAATATAGCAGCAACTCACTGAGTCTGAAAGACAACCATGTTTTGCTGAGAAGGCAGACAGGACATGTTTCAGCCCCTGGTTGAACACAAACAGCCAACAAAGCTTTTCAGTATGAACTGGGGGTTATTTCATAGCTTTAGACAAACTATACACTGAGGCTTCTTCTTTGTTTTTGAGCACTTACCACCAGTTCACCTCATCTCAAAGACGTATCCTGTCAGAGGGAAGCAGACACATCACAGAGTGGCTCTCACATTTCTTTAACCTTGAGGTGTTTGTTTTACATCTATAGCTGATGGAGGGTTATTCAACCATCTTACTGAACTTACTGAACTTACTGAACAGAGCTAAGTGCTCTGCATTCTGGATATTACTAATCATATTCTTTAAGGACTTAGGTTTATTGCTTTGTTAAGACTGACATGTTAAAAAGAACAAACCTTTCTCTTCTGCATTTTTAATGGAACTTCAGTTTGAGAGACACACTTTGCAAAAAGCCATAAATACTTGCAGACAACATAGAATGAATTTCTTGAAGGCCTGTTTCTGGGAAAAGATAAACAGATATTTGCAAAGCCAGCTCCCCAAATGAATGAGTTGAAATATGATTTTTGATGTGGAAAACAACGGCAACAACAACAACAACAAAAAACAAACAAACAAACCCAAAAGTCAAAACAAAACAAAAAGAATCTACCATTATATTCAGATTGAATATTTCTTTTTTTTTTTTCCTATTACTACAGGTCTCCTCTTTCATCAGCTAAGAATACAGTACCCTGGTTTTCATTCAGGGTCTTAGAATGCTTCTAATCATACCAAACCCTTCCTTAATTTCATACTTTTCAAAAAAATGGAGATAAATGAAAGCATTTCAACAAAGAAAACACGCAACACTTCATGAAAATTGTAGGTCTTAAAGTAATCATTTTATCTTTCTTTTGTATGACATTGTTTATTGTAAGACATCATTTTTATTAAATACACTGGAATACAAGAGAATTTCCATGTTGTGGAGAGAAACTGGTCACATGATTCACAAACAAAACTTTTAACACTGATACCTAGGCATCACTTCAAAATCAGCCAAGATGCAATGAAAGTTTTAAAGCAATGACTTGTTATAACAAACTGCAAAACAAGAACCACTAAATATTTGCACAGAGACATCACATTAAAAAGAAAGAAAAGGAAAAAAGAAAGAAGAAAGATAGCTCTACACACCAGGTCATAGTTTGGTGACAGTAATGAGATTTATATTTATACGTAGGTATCTTCCTCTTTATCTCACAGATATTGCGACAGAGAGAGAGATATCTAGAAATATATATATGCATAAAGTATAGGTGGAGAACAGGGCTGGGGCAAATATTTCATAATTAATTGATTATTCAATTAAGCATCAATGCTTAAGCATCAATTGCTTTTATATAAAACATTCTTAGCTGTTTTTCTTCGTTACAGAAAGATACATATAAGCTGCAATATGTAGGCCTCTGGAAAGATTTTATTTTCTTATATATTCCAATCAAATGGCCTTACTACTGGCAGCTTCTATCATCCTTGCACGAAGTACTTGGTGTTTATAAAATACCAGCCAGCCATCACTCAGAACCTTCTACAAGCAAACAAAAAAATTCCCCACAGACCTGGTCTAGAATGCATAGACGGTAAAATGATACACCCATCATTTCCCATTTCTTCTCCTGAGACATATGTTTAAAAGATGGCAAAATAGTCACTTGGTTGCTATTGTGAAATTCACAGTGTTTTCCCTGCAACATGTAGACTTTTTGTTATTTTTTTTTGTTTGTTGTTGTTTGTTTTTTTTTGCTTCATATTTATGATGAATGTAGCATCCCTCACCCACCCCCCACCCCAGCCCAAACAAAGGTCTTTTAACTAAGGCTCTTAAAGGACCTCTTGATTCACAGCAGCAGTGGTTCATCTCAGCCCTGACAAGAAAATACAACTTCGTGTGCTATCAAAACCTTCATCTTTGATTAGAAACCCTGAACTATTCACCATCGCTTCCCCGGCTCCCTCCCTCACATTTTATAGCAGTATTTGAAATTCCCTTACAGGCTGCAACAACTCAGACATAGTCTAACACATATGCACTGCATCTTATTCATCCAGTGACCTGATCATGGGTTGTTGTTTTATTTCTTTTTAAAGTGTTTTATTAAGTCTACATCTATCACAACAAAAACAGTATCTGAGAAAGGTGGGAAAGAGTATACAGGAGGAAGGCAAGAGGAAAAGAGAATGAAAAAAAAAGGAGTTAAAAGAGAAGGAGATGAAAGAAATAAAGAAATAGAAGGAAAGAAATAGGAAAGAGAAGAAGAAAGGAAATGAAAGAAAAAGTGAGCAAGAAAGAGAGAAAAAAAAGGAAAAGTGAAAAAGGAAGGAAGTAAAATATAGGCATTACTTGTTAAACCATGGACAATATACAGATATACTGGTTTACAAATCAAAATGAATGAAGTCATTTTTAAAAGGGCACGCTCCATCATGTATCATGGGGTGCTGTTGCTTTGCAAATACCTGTTCATCACCACCAGTTCTGGGTTCTGTAGATCAACTGAGAGTGAAGGACAGCGTGGCAGCTGCTGCAATTATTACTGCTGAATTTTGGCATTCTCAATGTGCTACATGTAGTGTTGCAGTCTGAATAGTCCAGCTCATGCTTGGAATTATTTCGCTACTGCAGATGAGTATAAAATGCTAATGGAGCTGCACTGTTATTCTAGGACAGCAAAAGAACAATAGCATAAACCCAGAAATGACAGTCAGTCAAACTCTACTTTTGGAGTTTGGAAGCTTATTTGTTCATTTCTTTGTGGCAAATCAACAGGTGAGATGCGAATGGAAGAAATGTTTTATGCAATTATATGGAGGAGAAAAGTGCTTGTTATATCTCTGGCATTCTAACATTGCTTCTGCTGCACACCAGTTAAAAAGTTGACTCTTAGAAACATAGAAAAAGAAACATTGAAAGAAAATGTGATTTTGGCTACTCAGCAGACTTAGTTAATTTATTAATAGCACTCTAATTATCATTTGTTATAACGTAGGTGTATGTAAATTTATACATATACACACAATCCATACATAATGTGCATGCATGTCTGCACATATAAATAAAATACAACAGACATAGGCATACATGTATATGCTGTGTGTGTGTATATATATATGCCACATGTAAGCACACATATATATTATATATATGATCAGTTCATAGCACAGTCCAGAAAGACTTTTAAAATGAGCCTGATTGTCATAGTTATTCAGTGTACACAATTTAGTGGACAGTGCAAGCATGATGAATATGCACATATACTCACCCTTTACTGGGATTTGAGAATACTTCTTCTTTTTCTCTGCTCATTCTGCTACACTTACCCACCTTTTCATGAACAAATGCAAAATATGTATAACTACTGTTTATAGCTTGTCTACTCTGATTACACAGTTTATGCGCTATCAAGAACATTAATGATATAGGTCAAGGTTACCATACTGGTGGCTCTGTAGAACATTTGGTCCTCTAGAAATTTAACATACTGCTATGTTATTGCACAATGCATTGTAACATTATTCATTTTCTGAAATGACTGCAGTGGTCTCACTAGTAAATCAAAAAGAAGATGCCAATAATTATAATTTCAAGGTTTTGCGAGTTTGGATTGTTTTGTTTTGTTTTATTTTGTTAGTGGTGATTTTTTTTTTTTTTGTATTCATTCTTTCAGTGCTTGCCAAACCCACCTGTTTGCTTTCAGGCTGGAGCCTGCTTTTCAGTAGAAAGAGCATCTCAGATGCCTTTTCCTCAAGCTCATAAGACCCTAAGATAGAACACAGCAGGCAGAAAGTCGGCATCTCTCTCTCTGTCAACTGCAGCCTTCTCCACCACACAGTATCAGTGGACAGTTTTCCACCACTGTTACTTTGAAAATCAGACTCAAATTCCTTTAAAAGACGAAACTCAAATTCTCAAGTGAATGGGTTCCAGTGGATGCTCAGTCTTTATCTAGCTTTCTATATGGATTTCCAGGACAGTCCAGATAAAATCTTAAGGCCCATTTTGTAGGAATCTTCCTCTGGCTTTTTGTGTGTTTCCAGTTCAGTAGCAATTATGAAATAACATCCTGTTATATAAAGAAATACTGAGTATGGCTTTATAGATACACTGTCATGTTTATTTGTAATGCTGCCCTTTCAATGACATTGAGAAGGGTAAAACTCCGTCGTTGTTCAATGAACTGTTTTATTCTGAAAACGTTCAAAGTCTTTATAAGCTAGCTCTAAAAGCTTCAGAAGAAAGAAAACTAAAGTACCTCAATAAATAATATATGCATGCAAATCATATATTAAATGTGTTATGAGAACACTTACAAAAATAAAATGCTTAATTTATTAAATAAAATATCCCCAACACAAAAATGAAGGACTATTTTGATCTGGCTCATACCAATCAGAAATAACAAAAACAGAAAAAGAAAACAAAGATTTTTTTTTTTGTTCTGTTTTTTTTTTTTTTTTTTTGTTGTTGTTGTTGTTGTTTTTGTTGTTTTTTTTTCTTTTTTTTTTTTTGTTTTTGTTTTTGTTTTTTTTGCAGTAACGTCCCCTCACAGAGGGAGGCAAAAGTATTGAGGAATAGATAAGGTAGGTTGTCTCTTGTAAGAATTCATATTAAAAATAATCCTAACTCTAAATTTGAAATCTTCCAACTTCCGGTTTGAAAAATAACAGATATGCCCATGCACTTGTCATCAACACAGTGGCCATGCAAAAAGTACACACACAGTGCCCATCCAACAAAAAAGAAATTATTTAAGAAAGACTGGATGTTGGTAATGACAGCACTAATACCAATACAAACATGGTGCTGAGCTCAAGGTCTTTGCACTCTGAGAAGTGAGCCATAACCTCAGAGTAATTTGTTTTCCCCAGGTATCTCACTTTATCCCCTGCCATGGCTCAAATATAACCAGTGATGTCCATGCTTTAGATTATTCATGTAGTATCAGTCTATTGTATCTGTAACATTGTAAAGGCATTTTAACATAGCTAATGTCTTTGATTATCCCCTTTCAATGAAATATAAGTTATACCATTACGAGTTTGCTATGCCTACTAAGGTGTTTTACAAGATGAGTGACAGTTTCTGCACAAAGGGCATTAATTGACAGAGACCATGCACATTTTTGCTCGCACGGTTTGAAAAAAAAGAATATGCTTCTGGACAAGCAGAGTGTAAGATACATCTGCCCCACCATCCATAGCTTGTCCTGTCTTATCAAAATCCTTAGTTTTGTTGTGCGATCCTGAAATTACTACTGTACATTAATAAGCCTAGCTTCAGCCTTTATTAAAAAAGACTTGCTGGAGAACATTTATGTACCAGTGGCATGACAATATTCTACCAGAAGACGAAGTAAGGGCATGTGTTCACTTATCACGTTGCAACATAATTACGTGCAGTGCTGGCAGCATCTTTTTCCCTTTTAACATAAACTTCTATCTGGCAATGAAAGCTACTGGCAAAGTACCTCCTTGAATCCCCTTACTCCTCAGAAAGACTCTCCAGGGAAAGTGCTAAACCTCCTCTTGCCTTCCATCAAATCATTTCAATGTTTTCAGTGGGGTTTGATGCCATCTGATCCCACAGTTCCTCCAAATAGTGGATCACACAACACTGTCTTGTTTTCATCTGGCTTTTTCTCTGCAAGGAATACTCTTCATGTAAAGAATACCAGTCTTCTTTTTCCACCCACATGCTGAAGCAAAAAAATTGAGGTGAATCCATAGAAACTCTCAGTATCTTTACAGCAGACATCACAAAGTTCGAGTCAAATATATTTTCCCTTTTTTTCATCCACATCAAAGGCATGAATACAACAAGGCATTGTTAGTTGTGATGGGCAAACTGGAGAGTCTGCTGATATAACAGATCAGGTTTTTAAGGCCTTTGTCTATGCAGAGTTACAATAATGCAGAAGCCAAATTGATTAGAAAGACAGGAAAGAAGAAAAAGATGATAGAAACTGAAAGAGGGAGAGAGAGAAAAGATACGTCTCAGTAAAGTCTAAAAAGTCAATACTGTGTCTACAGATGGAGAAGTGTACATTGCTTGCCCTTTAAAAGCTTCTCCATAACTCTGTCATTAATACTGTCAAAGTTAAGAACACATTTTAATGGAGTTCAGCGGCAGTAGAACACATTCATTCACACAGCCCATAAGAAGAAATGCTATGAGACTTTAGCCTAAAATATCCAGGTAGACTGGAGATGCCTTGGCCAAGTTCTGAAGGAGGGAATGGATTTCTTTGATGTTGAGCCTCATGTGAGGTTCCCGTTGCCAACATCCCAGCATCAAGTCATACACTTCTTTGGGGCACGTGCGAGGTCGCTGAAGAACTCGGCCCTGAGTGATGCACTCAATCACCTGCAAGAGATCAGAAGGAAAGAATCAACATAGCTGTGACAACTACATAGGTCTTATCCACAGAAGAACTAGCTGCTGATGATCACATCAGCCTCACTGGTGTCAGCCAATTCTGCGAAGGACTGTATGTCCAGGTAGATGGATGGGGAGCAGGATGCGATCCTGAAAATCACTGTAAATGTATGTTACCAAAGAGCAGTAACCTCACTGCCATCATGCATGTCCGTCCCTTTTAGTTCTAAGGAAATGATGGTCAGGAAGCATTCCCATATCTTCTTTTGCTACCCATCTCTTTACCACACTTAATCTCAGAGGATAATTTTTCACTTTGCTCACAGAAAACATCAGCACCCGTTTGTCCCTCCTTATGCCTTTTGAACGTTGCTGCGGCTAATCTCTGGAAAGGCATTACTTTTTATTCTCAGTACATTAAGAGAGCTCCTGATTCGTTACATCTATTTAATAATGCTTTTCAGTAACCACTTTTGCAATGGCATGTGTGATACTTAGCTGAAATCAGCCAAAGGCAGTAATGGAATTAACTAAGTTCCTTTTCATCACCTCATGGTCCTTCTCAAAACTGAACAATCATATACAAAACAGGAAGCTACATTCCAACCTAGTTCTGCTTGAACAAATTCCATTTTTCCACCTTGGAAGGAAAGGCTGAAAAGGAAGAAATTAAACCACAATATTTATGAAAATATAATAAATAATTGATATTAAACTTTTTGCCTGTACTAGATAAATTCACTGTTGTCTCTCTCCTATAAAAATCATAAAAAGCAAGCCTACCCACAAGCAGTTTGGAATATATTGCACAAACCTCATTGTTTGAGAGCTGGTACCATGGCTGTTTGCCATAGGTAAAGATTTCCCATAATACAACTCCCAGGCTCCAGACATCACTTTCAGTGGTGAACTTCCTGTACATAATACTTTCTGGAGGCATCCAGCGAATGGGGAGCATGGTGTGACCCCCAACCTGAGGGAAAAAAAAGGAAAAAGTTAGAGATAATTCCTCCAGATCCAATCAAGGGAGAGTATTACGATATTAAACTGGGTACATTCATTGTTTCTACTTTTCCTGTCTTTTGCCATTTGCTTCAAAGAGATTTTATTCTTAAATGGGGAGTTGTGATCCAAACTCCTCTCCTCAAATGACAGTCACTACTGTGGTAGATTTTTCAGCAGAATCTCCAAAGACACTATTTCTGAAGTACAAACTCATCTTGAAGTACAAACATTTACTTGGCAGTTCCTGACCAAGGAACTATAAATTAATTAATTTAGCCTACTTATTCACTTCAAATTAGGTGAGATTTACTCTCCATTTTAAGACTCAGGAAACTATAAATAACCTATGCAATGAAATCTGCCCTGATGATTCTCCTACAAAATCAGTGATATCAACTGAAATCCACAATGTTGCAATGGCATGTGTGATGCTTAGCTGAAATCAGCCAAAGGTAGTAATGGAATTAACTAAGTTCCTTTTCATTACCTCATGGTCCTTCTCAAAACTGAACTATCATATACAAAACAGGAAACTACATTCCAACCACAAATCAAACCGACTGAATTATGTAGTAGGATCAAAATTTACATGGTTTAATCTCTTAATTCAGATTGAAAAAAAATTACCTGTTGGTAATTTCCAAGTTGATCAATACATCTAATTACTTTTTCCCCATTAACTACGCAGTATCACGTAGCTTTACAAAATTTTCAGTCCTTTGGATATATTCTCATTTTGTAAGACATGGAACCTTGTCCCAAATCAAGTTATGTTGAATTTCCAAGGAACTTTGTACTGAATTATTGACTTTCTGAAAATCCCTTAAAGTACTTCTTTGTTTTCCAAAAATGATTCCATAAAATGTCATCAGCTAACCTTAATTTAAATCAACAAATACAATCCTTATTTCCAATTTATAAAGGATCAATTGTTCCAAATATTTCCCATTCTGACAGGACCACATCATTAAATAAATCTACTCAAGTACTTCTAAATAGTGGTACTGTGATGTAGATATATTAACATTCTGATAATTTTTACACCAAGACAGTTGTGAATATTTCCAAGGAAGTAAGAAAACAGGAAAAAATTTTCAAGGACACCAAATTTTGATTAATTATCTTTTTCCTGTGTGAAAACGTATTTACTTATGAAACCATATTTTCTCTTTCAAGGTTCTGTCAATTCAATGCATCATTTTTCCTTGTTAGATTTTTTCATATGCTATTATAAACAACATTCTTTGTTCTTATGTTAAAACAGCAAAAAGAAAGAAGACTCAATACAAGTTCATATTATTTCTAAAACACTCAGAACATCAATTTCCAGCAATTTGTCAATGATCCAGTGTTACTACAGTATACCAAAAACATAGCTATGGCTTCTAGATCTCAACTTTGTTGCATACGTTGCCGCAAGTCCATGCTACTGAAGCTGTAAAAACAGAAAGTCATGACAAAACTTTCATAGACTTTCATGCCTAGTTTTAGGCACTTTTCCCTCTACCTGAGAAATCACATGAGGAGGAATACTTTTTTCTTCAGATGTTAAACAAAAGGCAGGTTCCCAAGTTCAATGTCTGACAATGTGAATCTTCTGACTCAGCACAAGCTGCTGTCTACAGATGCTAGAGCCATTCAAAATAGGCCCTACACCTGCAGCATCTGGAGTAACTTGAAAACATAGAGGTTAGCAGTCTGTTTACAGAGAATGGATATATGCTTTTAAATGCTTTTTTCAATCAGACTGATTAGTCTTTGTGATACAGTTTATCCCTCTGACTGGCAGAATTCCTGTAAGACACATTTTTAATGATCTTTGACCAAGTTACTCAAAGATGTGGAGAGTTCAAAGTGATGCATGGAGAAAGCTCCAGTTTTCCATCTTATCATAAACTAAACTGACATAGTAACCAAACAGCTCCAAATCACCACTTTTACTACTGCCTTGAGGGACATTTCATTAGCGAGTCAGAAAAGTTAGTCCCTTTGAAACACACAGTCACATACACCCGGCCAAAGGGCAAGTGCCATTAAAAGATGATTAGTGATGAGAGGCTTTTGGTCTCATTAAATATTAAAATGGCTCTTAGGTCTGCTCATCATATAGCCTCTGTGATTGGTTGTTTTCAGCAACTTCTTTGACTCATTCCTTAAAAATTAATGAAAGCTATAAACAATAAACTAAGTCTCTCTATTTTTTCTTATTTGTCACATCCTACATTAAGAGACTTTTTAAAGAGCAATTAAAAATATCGCTCTCCAAAACTTTTCCATCATTTCCTGCTACTGAACAGCAATGTACTTGTGGTAGAGCTCTGAGTCTAGTTCCTAGTGTCATTCAGCTGCATGAATATCTCTAGAGTGATGATGAAAAATGACCATCAAATGATGGTTCTGCAATAAGCTGTAACATAACAGACTTATGTGTCTCTCTTGGTAGACCTAGTAAGACCAGCTCATCAGTACTGGTCCTCACCAGGAATTCAATTAACAAATAAGCACAAAACATAAGGCTCTTTGGTGTCTGCCCACATAGCTCCGCCTGGAGTTGTGTCCATTTCTGTTCCTGAAAGCAGAAGACTTAACTGGGAAAAACATTGTTTCAGGAATAAGAAGTTCTGAGATGTCTCCAACTCTATCATGGCCAATATCTACCATATTAAGCAAAGTTACCTCCCAAGCCTCAGACTCTTCGTGACAATAATATTTAACTTCTTTACTTCTTTGCAAAAGTACCAACACTATTATTATATGGTTTTTTTTGTTTTTTTGTTTTTTTTTTTTTTTTTTTTTTTTTTGCCAGATTTCAGTGCAACAAAGAGAGCAAACTTGTGTAACATTGAGCAACACTTGTGGCGGTCCGAGCATCTTCTGTCTCTGGTCCAAGAACATTTTCAGCTTTAACGAAGATTTCAGCAACATCAAAAACATATATCAGGGTAAGATCAAAGGCACTATTTCTAAATGCACATTTCTTTCTCTATTAGAGATCAGTGGTTACTGAGCCAACTATTACTTGGTTGTGTTAGGTACATGCTCAAAATGAAGCACGTGCTTCAGAACCTTCTTGAACTGTAGCCTGGGGCTTGACATCATAGTTCTCAGGCTGCCTGAAACAATTTGCCAGTCAAATGTGAGCTGCTTTTGGTACCTACCTGCATCCACAGCTGGTCATTAATAGCAGTGAAAAGAGGCAGAGTGCCTTTTGGCTCTTGTTGCCAACCTCTCAGCACAGTTATGGGGTATTTCCCAAGAAGGATCAATGAAAGTAAGCATGAGTATCCTGACTAAACTTCAATGGTTCTGAGTATTTAAAAGGGATGCTTTCTGTGTATAATAAAAAATGCAAGCATCTTACAGCATTCAATCCTGATGTTCACACTATAAGTGCAGTGCTGCTTGATACGTAAACAGCCATGTGCTAAGCAGACTACCACTGGAGGTGAACAACACCTTTATATTTAATCTAGATATGGTTATGACGGGTTTAAATATATTACAGTTTTAACTTAACATGCTACCACTTTAAAATGTTTTCTGTAGCTACAAAAATGCTGCAAAATGACAATTTTCTGGATACTAAGGGTAAGTTTTCTTGATGCTCACCTGAAGGAAGCTGCATTTTTTGTTCATTTTTATTTAAAATTGAATGGATCCTTCCTGTGACATAAGTATGCACTTGAAAACATCAGTTTATGCAAGCAAGCCCCTGTGTAGCCTTCTATTAACTTTACTAGCAATATTGGGCTGGAATCTAAGCCAGAAAGCCCACTGAATTAACTTTTGCAATATGCGGACTATCCACAGGGAGGAGACTGCTATGCTACATCAGTGAGCTATGATATTCTCTAAGGAGAAACTGCCACATTGCTCAATGCATGAGATGCTTTACTTCCAACAAAACAATGTTATTCCAGTTGACATCACTTTTAGCTCTCATTTGTTTTTTAATGAACTTACACTTTGAAAGACGCCAAGTGAACATACCTTGGACATTGTTTCTGCCTATTTGCAAACATCAAGCTTCAATCACCACGTCTTGAAGCTTGACGCCTAAAGCTTCCACCAAAAGCTTCCACCACTTTGAAGCAGAACGCCTAAAGCTAGAGTCAGCTGAAGTTTGCTCGCTTTCTGGCTCCATAAGTTCCATATCTGGCTTTGCAAGGTTTTTGCAAGGTATTTCTGATGCAGCAGCCTCTATTTTAAGAAGGAAACTTCCCTATAGCATGTAACCCTGTGGAAGGTGATTTTTGTTGCCCAAGACTGTACACATCCATCCATCTCTCCATCCATCCATTTAATGTAGCCATTGATTTTCAACATAAAATTCAATGGAAACATTAAGGCACATAAATATTACTACTACATGAGCCTTTATCTGACTATCATCAAGATCAAGGTAATCAATCACTGCAATTTTTGTATGTCATGTGAAAATATATCTGTGAACATGCAGCTCCAATCACTGTTTTCACTGCCACTGCCCAGTCACTGTGGGAACATAAAGACCTCTTGCCTGACATTTGTAGAGAAATTGATTCGTTCTTTTACTAAGAACAAGAAAATGAAGCCTTGTGCTCCTGCTGGGAACAAGAGGATATGAGTGGGACTGGGAGAAACCCATTTTTTTTATGTGGAAGAAACAGACTGTTTCCAAATCCACAGACTGTGTTTGTGAGTACACAGATAAGATAGAAGGTAAGGACCAGGAAAGGTGCAAGAAATGTGTAAAGATGGTGTCTCAATTCACAGCAGGTTCATCCCTCACTCATTCATACTTGGAAGAGAGGGAGGGATGAGTGGATAACCCACTTCTGCAAAGCATGCCAGCTGCAGCCCAGGCTTACCATAGTGACAGTGTGAGCTGTGGTGCTGAGATTGCTACATAGGGATTCATGACTCCTGAGCCATGCATCAGGATGCTTGCAGGATAATCAAAGATGAAGGTCCAACTGGTATAATCTC